CTAGGTGAGAGCTCATGGTGTGAGAGCTGGCGTGGAACCTCCATCCTGCTACGCTGGCAGTTCCCCATCTTCCCCATTCGCTCAAACCACATGGAGAGACGAGAGCATAACAGAATGCAACACCTTCCTTTTTCCCAGTATACTGGAGTCCACCCGGGAAAAAAAGCAGGATAGTGTGATGAAAAATGTGTAGGCAAGTATTTCCAACCTCTCCACTAGGTACTTGACTAGGGAAATCATAAAAACCACAGTCATTTGGACAGCCATTTATAGTTTGTTTACAAGCTCTTTTCAAGCGCGTTTTCTTAATCCTCTCACAAAACACTGGGGAAAAAAAATGTTTTTATTATCTCCCTTTTACAGATATAGAAATGGAGGCTCAAAGAGGTCAAGGGATTTGCCTAAGGATAAACAGCTGGTAAGGGCCAGAAATGGGGCTGAATCTGGTCATTTCTGCCTCTCGCACCTGCGCCCCTTGCACTGCTCCACCGCTGTGGGCTGCCTCCTCTTCACCCAGGCCACGTGAGTCAATCTGATTTTCTGCCTCAAACCCAAGCTGTAAAGGCCAAGGACTTGGAAAACTTCTGGGTAGATATCTGGTTCTCATGCCTCGAGGCAGAGATAAAACCCGTTGCCCTTGAGTGAATTCCGACTCATAGTGACCCTATAGGATGAGTAGAACTGCCTCATGTGGTTTCCAAGGAGTGACTGTTGGATTCTAACTGCCAAAGTTTTGTTTCGCAGCCGAGTTCTTAACCACTGCACCACCAGGGCTCCAAACAGGACAGAGATAAGGCTGCATTTATATTGAAGCAGGAGTCCCTGGGTGGTACAAAGGGTTGATGCTAATGTGCTCAGCTGCTAAGCGATAGGTTGGAGGTTCGAATTCACCCAGAGGCACCTTGGAAAAAAAGCCTGGCAATTTACTTCTGAAAACAATCAGCCATTGAAAATCCTATGGAGCACAGTTCTACTCTGACACACATGGAGTCACTGTGAGTCAGGATCAACTGGACAGCAACTGATTATACTGAGGTAGAAAGCATCACTTACCCCTTTCCCATTTGCAAAAAGGGAAGAGGCATAAAACTGATAAATTTCTTTGTTACCTGGTATATTTTGTCACTGTGCCTCCCAAGAGAGAAATGGTGACATTCCTGAGTAGTAGAGGGACTTCTACTATCATATCATGGAGACCTTTTGTCATCTGTAGGCTTGCTCTTTCTAGTTCTTTATTTTTCTCTTTCTCCCTTCCCTTGGCAACTTTCTGTGGCACTCCTAATAGACACGGGGAACTCAGACTTGAGCTCACATCCTATTTAAACAGACCCTCTGTCTTTGTGGTCCCAAAGGGAGCCAGCTGCTAGAGGCCCCAGAGGTTTCCACAGTGTCTTAGCCATCTAGTGCTGCTACAACAGAAATACCACAAGTGGATGGCTTTAACAAAGAGAAATTTATTTCTTCACAGTAAAGTAGGCTAAAAGTCCAAATTCAGGGCATCAGCTCCAGGGGAATGCTTTCTCTCTCTCTCGGCCTTCTCATCAATGTTCCCTCAGACTAGGAGCTTCTCTGCGCAGGGACCCCGGTCCAAAGGACATGCTCTCCTCCAGGCACTGCTTTCTTGATGGTATGAGGTCCCCCATTCTCTGCTTGCTTCCCTTTCCTTTTATCTCTTGTAAGGTAAAAGGTGGTGCAGGCCACACCCTAGGGAAACTCCCTTTACGTTGGATCAGGGATATGACTTGGGTCTAAAGGTGGTATTACAATCCCACCCTAATCCTCTTTAACATAAAATTACAATCACAAAATGGAGGCCAACCACACAATTCTGGGAATCATGACCCAGCCAAACTGATACACACATTTTTGGGGGGACATAATTCAAACCATGACACACAGCAACACATAGCTTTCTGTCACATTTGCACACATGAAATGGGGACTGGTTTGAATGGGGAAGACCTTTGGGGTCACTAGTCTAAAGTGTTTAAACTCATGGAGGAATCTGGAAGGCATTATGCTGAGTGAATTTAGTCAGTCGCAAAAGGACAAATATTGTATGAGACCACTATTATAAAAACCCAAGAAAAGGTTTAAACACAGAAGAAAATATTCTTTGATGGTTATGAGGGTGGGGAGGGAGGGAGAGGGGTATTCACTAACTAGATAGTAGACAAGAATTATCTTAGGTGAAGGGAAGGACAGCACACACTATAGGGGAAATCAGCATAACTGGACTAAACCAAAAGCTAAGAAGTTTCCTGAATACAACCAAACACTTCAAAGGACAGACTAGAAGGGGTGGGGGTCTGGGGACCATGCTTTAAGGGGACATGTAGGTCAATTGGCATAACAAAGTTTATTAAGAAAATGTTCTGCATCCCACTTTGGTGAGTGGCATCTGGGGTCTTAAAAGCTAGCAAGTGACAATCTAAGATGCATCAATTGGTCTCAACCCACCTGGAGCAAAGTAGAATGAAGAACACCAAAGACGCAAGGAAAATATTAGCCCAAGAGACAGAAAGGGCCACATAAACCAGAGACTCCATCAGCCTGAGACCAGAAGAACTTGATGGTGCGCAGCTACCACCAATGACCGCCCTGACAGGGAACACAACAGAGAGTCCCTGACGGAGCCAGAGAAAAGTCAGGTACAGAACTCAAATTCTGGTAAAAAGACCAGAATTAATGGTTTGACTGAGACTAGAGGGACCCCAGAAGAATGGCCCCCAGGCTCTCTGTTAGCCCAAAACTAAAACCATTCCTGAGGCCAGCTCTTCAGACAAAGATTAGACTGGACTATAAGACATAAAACGATACTCGTGAAGAGTGTGCTTCTTAGCTCAAGTAGATACATGAGACTAAACGGGCAGCTCCTGTCCAGAGGTGAGATGAGAAGGCAGAGAGGGTCAGGAGATGGTTGAATGGACACGGGAAATCCAGGGTGGAAAGAAGGAGTATGCTATCACAGAATAGGGAGAGCAACTAGGGTCACATAACAATGTGCATATAAATTTTTGTATAAGAAACTAATTTGAATGGTAAACTTTCACTTAAAGCACAATAAAAAATAATGATAATAAAGTGTTTAAACTAATCCCTTCTTAGAAGCCTTGAAGGCTCTCCTAGTTTGAGTCCACAGGCATCAAGCCCATCATGAAAAATTATTCCATGAAGTTCCCTTTTTAAAGTATTTCACAGTTCTGACTTCTACCAGACAGAAACAGGATTGATAGAGTCACTTGGGGAGGACTGACTTGGGACCAGGCCAGGAACCCAGGTCAATTCTACAACCAAAAGCCAAATTCTGATCAACTGAAGTGCAGGGGGAAGCATGTTCCAGTTATTTTAATGTTCTGGCTAACTGGGAACTAAGTAGGGTACACTGAACGTAATTAAATCTTTCTTTGATGATCAAGAATCTTGCAGTGCCCTGGAGTAATCATTTCAAATATCAATTATGAATTCCCACTGGTGGGAATGCAGGAAATAGCGTTCATCCTGCAGTGACTTCCAGGTCAACTGCAGGAAATTGATTTTTACAAAACCGCTAACACCAGATTGTTATTTTCTTCTTTTCCTAGACAGCTAGTGCAAGAAAACTCTATTGACTAGAAGCTTTCAGTTGTTTGAATCACAGTTAGCCAAGGTTGCTATATACCGTTCAGGAATTAGAAGGATGCCTAGAATGTTGACTTTTTACTCCTGATTGTTAGATCAGATAAATCTAACCAGATAAAATTTTCTTAGATTTATTTTGAAAATTCACTTAAAGGTCCACTCCCACTTGCAAAAATCCTGAGGAAGCATACGTTCTTGCCTTTTATGTTTCGGATAGACTGAGTCAAAAGACACTAAATCAATTGGATATTGGAGTTCTTTAGTGCTAGTGCTGGTCCCCATTCCCTTATTAAGTAGTTATATGATGTTGGGGACACTATTTCACTTGAGACTGTTTTCCCTATCTGTATACAGAAAAGTTGGATTTACTGGTTCTTAAAATTTTTAGGATTACAGCTCTCCTTAAGAATCAGAAGAAAACTAAGGAAGTTTTCCACAGCAAGGAAAAATGAACTTAAGTGAAAAAGTTTGCATTCAAAACCCGAGGATAGGTCATGGACCCCCTGAAACCCACCATCTTGTGACCCCTGTCCGTGGACTACAGGATTAAAATCTTGTGGTAGAAGACCCGTTGGGCCTCTTGAATCCAATGAAGACAAGCATCTTCCCAAGTCTACAGAGTGGTGGTCCTCATCCTTGGCTGCATATTGGAACCGCCTGGGGAGTTTTATGATTCCAACGCCCGGTTGCTCCCAGACCAATTAAATCAAAATCTTTATGGGCAAATCCTAGGTATTGGTATTTTTTTTAACACACTCCCAGTGATTCCAATACATGCTGCTACAGAATGATGACTCTCAAAACGAAGAATGAGCAGACTCACCCAGGGGGGATACACATTCCCAGGCCCCACTCCCTGGGGTTCATATTTCTTTTGGCCAGATGCTGCCTGGGAATATGCAGTATTAGCAGGCACCCCAGGCAATTCCGATGCAGACCATTCTTTGGGAACCCAGTAATAAAGCCTGTTGCCAGGAAAAGCCCAGAGGGATCCTCTGCCCTGGGCAGTTTTATATACTCCCAACAGGCCTCTTGTCTTCTCCAGGGAGATAGCTTTAACAGGTCTCCGTCACTTGCCAGACAGTCTTTTTCTCCATCTTTCCCATCTCTAGCAAACCTGGATCTTTTCATTTGAGCCTCTAATCCCACTAGTTTCAATAATTTAAGCAGAGCAATCATCAGCACCATAATGTTTAATATTTAAACGCCACAGCATCACTTAAGTCAGCTTCAGGGTGAGGGCTGCTGCTGACTCTTGTTCTAGTGCCGATCAGCAAACCAGGCTGCCAGAGGGACAGCATGAGCAGGGCTCCAAGGCAGGCCCCGCCTGGGCAAATACCCAGCCAGCCAGGTTCTGCACCAGCGCAGCCTCTTCCTACCTGAAGCGTGTGCAGCAGGACCTGCAGCCCACTGGCTTCTTGTTCGGCCATCACCTCCTCGGGTCCTGGGGAACCGTCTGCCTGCCGCCAGATCCGGGCTGGAGAGGTAGCGGCTGCCAAGCTGACCTCGCTGCCCGCCTCGCATGAGACTGGTGCTCGGAGGCCCCAGCTGCACATGCTGCCGAGTGTGAAGTCACAGCGTGCAACCCTAGACCGCCGCACAGACATGCATGCCCCCCGACTCCCACTGTGGGGATTAGGTGAGCCCCGGCCTGGGGAGGGCTGAGCAGTTGGGCGCGGGGGTGGGGAGGGCAACAGGGTGAGTCACTCACCCACTTCCAGGCCCACGCAGGAGTCACCCTGGATGGCTGCCAGGCATTCCCAGCTGACCTGGTCAGACTCCCTCCAGAGGCTCGCTCGGCCCTCCCCACTGACCCCCCCCCGCCCTGTATTTTGGTCTGCTGCCGGCTCCCGGGTAATAGGAGATCCGAGAGCGCTTGCACAACCGTGGCAGTGCAGGGCACAGCAGCCCAGGGCCCCCTAAGATCCCCGGCTTAAGGGCAGGAGCTCTGGCTGAGAAGGAAAATAATCACTCTTGACATTTTCCATGGACCAGGTCCCTTATACAATCATTTTCACAATATCACTATAGAGGTAGGTACTATTATTGCCACCGCACCCCACCCCCATTTTACAAATGAGAAAATTGAGGCATAGAAATGTTAAGCCACAGCCCAAAAACACAGAGCCTAGGAGTGTATACCAGGTCAAACTGGCATCAAAGTGCACTCACTAACCATTACACCACTCTGCCCCCTTGCTACTGGAAACACATTGATTAGCATGAGGGAGGGCCTAGAGTCTTGGATGCAGCCCTGTCTTCCGTCTCAGGGAGAGGAGGTGCTTCCGCAGAGTTTCTGCCGACCCGTGTGGGATCTATTGTCCCTTGCTATGTCTTCTGCTGGTGTCCCTGGGTGATGCGAATGGTTAACGCTAGGCTGCTAACCAAAAGGCTGGTGGTTGGAGTCCACCCAGTGGCACCTCAGAAAAAAGCCTGGTGACCCACTTCTGAAAAATCAGCCATTGAAAACCCTGTGGAGCACAGTTCTACTCTGACACACACTGGTTGCTGTGAGTCAGAAAGTCAACTTTTTTTTAATGTCTTCTGCCTGGGATGTGTGAGAAGGTTTTCAGTGACTAACTGGCCATCTAGTCCTCCTCCCCAGTCTTCTTGCTGTGCTTTAGGTCCCTGCTCCTCAAAGTGGGGCCAGCATCATCACCAAAAGTTTGCTAGGCCCCGCCCCACCACTCCGGCACCAGACCATGCGTTTTAATAAGACCCCCAGGGATTCACAGCTTGTTAACATTACCAGAGGATTAAAGTTTAGGAAGTCCTGATTTTGAATATATTGAATACATTGCCAGAAACAGCCTGTGTGTTGCACACATTTGACCATTTTTGATCCAATAACTAATACTCTGGGGGCAGGGGCAGATTGATACAACAAACTAGGTAAGCACAGTCTTGTGCTTACTTACTAATCTATAGTGAACAATTTCACATTTTTTCACCACATCAAAGATTCTGCTTCTAGGTATGGCTGACATCTGTCTCTCTCCTAACACCACCTTCCTACTGAATCAAAGCCTCTTTTCACATTTACCGTGTGTGTGACAGGGGCGGACGACTCAGTAAGCACGGTAAGCATGGACTTACTTGTGCTTACTTACTCACCTGTAGTGAACAATTTCTCTTTGATGTGGTGTGGTGAAACCCGTGCGAGATTGTTTATTACAAACCGAAAAAGAAAAAAGACTAAACCTGTTGCCGTCCAGTCGATTCCAACTCATAGCAACCCTATAGGACAGAGTAGAACTGCCCCATAGGGTTTCCAAGGAGCACCTGGTGGATTCGAACTGGCGACCCTTTGGTTAGCCGCCAAACTCTTAACCACTGCGCCATCAGGGTTTCCTTGTTTACTATAGATTACTAAATTAACAAGTAAGTCCATGCTTACCTTCTATTGGATAATCCTCTCCTGCCTAGGGGGCATTGGTAGTTCAGTGGTAGAATTCTCACCTTCCATGCGGAAGACTTGAGTTTGACTCCTGGCCAATGCACCTCAAGTGCAGCCACCACCTGTCTGTCAGCAGAGGATTATATGTTGCTATGATGCCGAACAGGTTTCAGTGGAGTTTCCGGACTGAGACAGAGTAGGAAGAAAGTCAGCCAATGAAAACCCTATGGATCACAACGGTCCGGTGTGCAACTGGACAGGGCAACATTTAGTTCCGTTATTCAAGTGGTCCCCACGAGTTGGGGCGGAGGGCGCGACGCCACCGCAGCTATCAACAACAATAATCTCAAAGCACAACTTTAGTGTTTGAAATTGAAGAGGTGAGCTCGTGAAATTCAGAGAAATTCACCGAGAGCATGGCTAGTCAAAAGGGCCTCCACCGGTGGTACAGGAGGGAGCTCACAGCCAGCACTCCCTGCAGAGTTTGGGAGGCCTCGGGCTCACCCCGTGAACATCAAAAATAGTCGGTACTGATGGTGGTTGCACAACATGATGAGCTTAATTAAGGTCACTGAATTGTTACATATATTTTTAACCACAATTAAAAAAAAAAAAAAATCATCCAGCTAGCTGCTTCCCAAGCACTATGAGGCAACTGAGGAGTTTGCATTTCCTGATCCTGTTTGTTGTCAGTGTTACAAGGTCCCGAGTTCTTAGTCAGTCAGTGTCTCAGTCAGTGCCAAGCCCAACCAAGCCCTCAACTTCAAGGGCAAATTCATACAGTTTCTGCCTCCAAGAAACTTCCACTTTTAATAGCTTTAAATGCGAAAACCGTCCATGTTAGGAACTGATCATAACAACCCACATTTACAGAAATTGGTAGTGGTGGTAGGTGCCCCCACCCGCAGACCACCCTGACTCCCCCACACTTCTTAACACCTCTGAAGAGCAGAGGGTTGAAATTAAGGCTCTCCAAGGGTTCCTGTCTTCTATCAGAGGGTGGAGCTTTTTAAGGCCAGTGTTTTATGATCCTCTAAACTCCGGGGGTGCAGAGAGGACTGCATGGTCCCAGGTGATAATCTTAACGGCAGATCATTCCTTGCTCCTAGACTGGAGGATAAAGAAAAGGGAGAAAACGGAAAGGAAAAATAAAACCTCCCTCCCAGCATGTACCTAAAGAATAGTTTATAGAAAAAAATCACCCTTGTTACTGGATGATTATACTTGTATGAAATATCTAGGATAGGCAAGTACCTAGAGATCAGAGTTTATTAGTGGTTACCAGGTGGAGGTAAGAGGGCAGGGAAAAGGAGGACTTACTGCTTAGGGGACACTGAGATTCTGTTAAGGGTGATGGGAAATTTTGGAAATGGATAATGGTGTTAGTTGAACAGCATGATAAAGGTAACTAATGTCACAGAATTGTACACGTGAAGAATGTTGGAAAGGTAAATGGTTTGTTATATATATGTTTACCACAATTAAAAAAAAAATCCTTGTAGTAAGAAGTCGTAAAACTACCTAGGAGGACAGAACTAAAGGTACTGCGGTCACACTCATTCACGTTAGCATTGATGTATAACCACCCCCATCTTAAAGGGTTCAGCTCACGAGAATTGCACAGGGCAAAGGTGAAGTGAAAATCCTACACATAAAGGGATCACTCTCTGCTAGTTAATACACACCTTTCCCGCCTGCAGCGCCATGAACCTCAGTTTCAGCAAGCCCCTTGTAAATAAGGCAAGAAGTGGCCTTGCTCTTTCTTTGACAATATACCTGCCCCACATGCCCAGCTTGGCTGCCCCTCACATTCACCCTGGCAAATCTCCACCCTCTGGAGAGTCATCACCCACATCCTCGCGTGGATGCACATGGATACCAGACAAGGAATAAAGTGCTGGTTTTAGTTCTCCAGTTTTTAAACAAAATTTGGACACACATCTAGATGTTTCTAGCTCTCCATCACACTTACAGCACTTTCCCTTCTTCTCCTAACACTTAGGCTTTGCCACGGCTCATGAGGTGGCCTCAGCAGCCCTGTTCCCCTTCCTAGCAGAGCGCTTCTTCACTCCCATGTTTGGAGAAAGCCCCAGAGAAATTCCCTGCCCAGGATTCCATTTTCATGAGAGTCCAGTTCTGACAGTGGACTGATAAATTAGTTTAAACTGAAGTGTAAATGGGTGGTTGTAGTTTAGTGTGCTCTTCGCAAGCTAACATTTGACTTTTAACAGAAACCCTTCTAAAAGGCAGGAGCTGGAACCCAAGCTTGGAATCCTCCTGGGCAATGCAATATGTTACCCAGAGTAGATTAAAATGAATGCTCATTAAGTCACATGAGACAGCCAACAGGTGCAGGGTAGCCCCTATGGCAGCCTCTAGGGCATACCAGCTTTGTGAGGCACTGAAAGGCCTTCTGACTGCCCTCACATTATATTTTTCAAAGGAGGCATTTAGGGAAGCCACAGACCAGATCCAAGCAGAAGCCCAGTATCAAACTTAGTCCTCTGGCTTCAAAGAAAAACCCATTTAATTTAATCCAGAGATTTCTCTTTAAGTTCAGGGTCACTAAGACCACCCTAAGTTTCAATGATTTGCTGGAAGGAATCACAGAACTAATAAAAGCTTTTTGAGGTGCCTCTGGATGAACTCAACCCTCCAAACTTCTGGTTAAACAGCCAAAAGCGTTAACGTTTGCACGACCCAGGGATTCCATCTTAACCACAGATATTATGAGAGTCTTGGCCTGAGGTTATGGAATGAGAGGGAAAGTATGCTGCAGAGGATTAACCTTGCCCAAAGAAAGGTTTGGCCCTTACCCAGTTCCTGGGAGGTAACCTCTAATACTTGGAATGTCCTGCTAGATAAGAGCATCTTTGTTTCCCTGGGAGCCTTGTGCCACATAATATCACCTTGACTTCTGGAGGGGCTGGAGACTAAGGTCAGCCACATGGGTGGTCAGCCATGTCTACATGAATGACCCCAGTGAAACACCAAGGTTCAGGTGAGCTTCCCTAGTTGGCAATACTCCATGGGTGTTGCCACACATTATTGCTGGGAGAAGTAAGGGCTGCTCTCACAACTTCACTTGGAGAGGACAACTGGATAACTGATAAATTAGTTTAAACTGGAAGCTTGTACCTGGAGCTCTCCTGGCCCCTGCCCCATGTACCTCTTGCCTTTGCTGAATTTAA